TATATATATATATATATATATATATATATATATATATATATATATATATATATATATATATATATATATATATATATATATATATATATATATATATATATATATATATATATATATATATATATATATATATATATATATATATATATATATATATATATATATATATATATATATATATATATATATATATATATATATATATATATATATATATATATATATATATATATATATATATATATATATATATATATATATATATATATATATATATATATATATATATATATATATATATATATATATATATATATATATATATATATATATATATATATATATATATATATATATATATATATATATATATATATATATATATATATATATATATATATATATATATATATATATATATATATATATATATATATATATATATATATATATATATATATATATATATATATATATATATATATATATATATATATATATATATATATATATATATATATATATATATATATATATATATATATATATATATATATATATATATATATATATATATATATATATATATATATATATATATATATATATATATATATATATATATATATATATATATATATATATATATATATATATATATATATATATATATATATATATATATATATATATATATATATATATATATATATATATATATATATATATATATATATATATATATATATATATATATATATATATATATATATATATATATATATATATATATATATATATATATATATATATATATATATATATATATATATATATATATATATATATATATATATATATATATATATATATATATATATATATATATATATATATATATATATATATATATATATATATATATATATATATATATATATATATATATATATATATATATATATATATATATATATATATATATATATATATATATATATATATATATATATATATATATATATATATATATATATATATATATATATATATATATATATATATATATATATATATATATATATATATATATATATATATATATATATATATATATATATATATATATATATATATATATATATATATATATATATATATATATATATATATATATATATATATATATATATATATATATATATATATATATATATATATATATATATATATATATATATATATATATATATATATATATATATATATATATATATATATATATATATATATATATATATATATATATATATATATATATATATATATATATATATATATATATATATATATATATATATATATATATATATATATATATATATATATATATATATATATATATATATATATATATATATATATATATATATATATATATATATATATATATATATATATATATATATATATATATATATATATATATATATATATATATATATATATATATATATATATATATATATATATATATATATATATATATATATATATATATATATATATATATATATATATATATATATATATATATATATATATATATATATATATATATATATATATATATATATATATATATATATATATATATATATATATATATATATATATATATATATATATATATATATATATATATATATATATATATATATATATATATATATATATATATATATATATATATATATATATATATATATATATATATATATATATATATATATATATATATATATATATATATATATATATATATATATATATATATATATATATATATATATATATATATATATATATATATATATATATATATATATATATATATATATATATATATATATATATATATATATATATATATATATATATATATATATATATATATATATATATATATATATATATATATATATATATATATATATATATATATATATATATATATATATATATATATATATATATATATATATATATATATATATATATATATATATATATATATATATATATATATATATATATATATATATATATATATATATATATATATATATATATATATATATATATATATATATATATATATATATATATATATATATATATATATATATATATATATATATATATATATATATATATATATATATATATATATATATATATATATATATATATATATATATATATATATATATATATATATATATATATATATATATATATATATATATATATATATATATATATATATATATATATATATATATATATATATATATATATATATATATATATATATATACTTTTTAGTGCGTTGCTTCTCTCCATAATGCTACAAACCTATAATTATAACGACCGATACATAAAGTCCCGTTTGCTCTTCCAAATACACATCGTATTATTTTAGGAGCCGTTAGAATATCTGAATTTGACCACAGATTTAAAACTAACGACGGAAATTTTTTTCTCTTCCTATTCCCAGGAAATCACTAAAAAAAAAGGTGTTTAGCTTTTTTGAGAACTAACATTATTCCTGTGAGAGTGAGTCTATGGGTAACAAAAACGTGGAGGAAAATAGTCAAACAACTATTACTTAAGGCATTTCTACTTAATAAATGAAAACATGAATTCAAAAGGAATAGTGACAGAACTACTTATTATTACTTAGGCTATCCTGATTGTATTTATGGGTATTAAAAAAGTGTTGAATATTTTCCATTATTACGAATTGGTAGTGTTTGTCGAACCACATAGGACTTTCCTGCATGCATTCGTGATTTTCGCAAATTTCTTCTTAAAGGGTTCGATAAATTCATCGCTCTCGAGACTCTAATTCGAAAATTAAATTTCTTTCTCTTCGTAAGATAGTTTATTTTAGAGATTAGACGTGTGTTATTCATGTACTTCGCAATTTTTTAACGATTCAAAGATCAATTAGAATTAAAATGAAAGTAACATTTACAACGAAATTAATTAAAAAAAACTTAATTACCATTCGCAGTTTTAGCATTTTTGTATTCGCAATTGTATATTTACCATTCAGATTTGTCAGGATCTGATGGAATTTCAGCCCATATAATTTTAATTTTTTCAACTGTCAAGTTCAGTTTCTTAGCTTATTCATTTTTCAGGGATATTTAGGTTTTCCTATCTTTACATGCTATATATTCATCAGCGATTCAAACTCACCGATTTTAAAGACACAGAGTGCAACCCTTTTTGAGCGAAATGACTTATTTGGTTTAATGGTAGACACATTTTAAGAATAAAAAGAATTAGTTTTTACGCGTCGTTACTATTAAACTATTAAAATTATTTTTATTATAATATTATTAAAATAATTTTTAATCGTTCTAAAAAATTGAATTTATGAGAAGATTGCACTGATTGTTCGGGAATTTTGAAAATTATACATCGACTTCGGTGTTTGCAAAAACACCAACAATGTGGTTAAGATAACGCAGAATACAATATTTAATAAAATTTTTAACATGTTCTTAATTAATATTTCAGCAGGTATACGTATGGTAGACGAACATTATTCAAAAATTTAGTTTTTAATTTTAATTCGGATGGATAAAATCTAAGTTAAAAATTTCAAATTCGTTGTTTGAATTGTTTACTGTAAATAATAAATACAAGCTAATGCTTTTAATACATAAAGCAAGCTAATGTATTTTTTAGCTAATTCTTAACAATTCACATTTTATAATAGCGTATCTAGAAAATACAGGTCAAATTTCTGTTGCATGTATGGTGGTTAAGTAAAATAATTTATCAGTTACCTATTTTTAAAAAAATTCAGTTAGTTTTCAAACGACTTTATTTAAAACGATCTGTATACAAACATTTTAATAAAACAAAGATTTTAATGAACTTTGCCCTAAGTGCAAAAGTTCAGCACATAAGGCTAAAAAATAATTTAATTTTATCAAAAATTATTAAATCTTCAATTTTGATATATATTAACAAAAAGCTATAAAAATCAAGGAATGATACTCTGAAGGTATTTTTTTTTGTTGTAAACAAAATTTAATCTTTAAAAAAAATTAAAGTTCATTTTCCAAAATAGAAATAAAATATTGGCAAACATAGATTCAATGAAGCTTTAAGATTTCAATTTGCACTAGATATAGTCCTCTTGTGCTTTGGAAGGAATAAAATAGAACGTTTACATAGATAAAAACTGGAGAGGAACAAAAAATCCAATTTATATAACATATTGTTGTTCGATATTACGAATTGCTTGATAGAATTTTCATCACAAGTTCGTTCGTAAGTGCAGTAATGGACAGCAAACACATTCAAAACATGCTTTTTGCAAATAGTCATAACTATTTGTCCAAAGAAGAATCTGCATACCTTATTCATTCGAACATTATTCGTTTCGATTAGAATCGAAATTCTTTTGATTTCACAAGTTATAAAAATCAAAATGTTTTTATAATTAATGCTTAAATCAATATGAACTTAACAATTAAAATACTCTTGGTGACCAATAGGATTATTGCCACTACTTGTTCTTTGCGTAATAGTAGCAAAGTAATAGTAAAGTTCAGTAATAGTAAACGTAAACAAACACCTTCAATAAAAGCCATAAGAATATGTTTAAAACAAACACATAACCAAATTAATTGACGCTGGTAAAGTCTTTTATTTGAGAAACATAATGTCAAATTGCATTTATCGGTGGTAATAAAATGCTAAAAAGAGATTAAAAATGGTAGTTAAAATGCTTTCAATAATTGACTGTAATTTGGAAAAATATGCTTTACACCAAGAGTTATAAGCAATAATGACAATATTGTATTAAACACCAACTTGAGAGAAGATTGAATCAATTTGAGTATCAAAACAAGTATACTATCAAGTCAAAAATCTGACCATTAATTTTTTCAAACAAGTTGGTTGTCAATCAACTGATAGTCAAACAGTTCGACTATCAAATTTATGGTAATTTTTAAGAGATAAAATATCTTCCAAACGGAGTTGTTAAATAATAAAAATTCAAACTATTTTTAAAACTCACATTAAAACAAACCATCCTTAATGTATTAAATAGAAAAAAAAGAACTGAAATCATTTGTTGTCTTAGAAAAGTCATAGGACATTATTTTTCGTGAAAATATCGTTCAATTGGCTAATTTGACAGAGCTGAATATGGTTGGGTTAATAATTAAAATGCCATTGTTTTAAATCTTTAGCTGTTATCATTTGCCATCTTAGAAAAGTTGTAGGACATTTTTCATGAAAATATCGTTCAATTAGCTAATTTGACAGAGCTGAATCTGGTTGGGTTAATAATTAAAATTGTTTTAGTTCTTCAGCTGTTAAAAATCACAAACTATTTTCGGTAAATACAATATCTGACAGCATATCTCTGCAAAACATTCCATCCACCCAGAATCACAAACCTCTGTTTAAGGAAGGTATTATACACCCCGTCCATTTGGCAAACAATGAATTCCAGTTGCCAAAACTGTCCCTGTTCCAAGTAATGAAGTCCCATCGTAGCGATCTGAGCACAAAATCTAAAATATTCTTTGATGTAGTTTTCTCCTCTGAATGTAACAGCAGCGACTGTCAACAATATGTCCCTCATTGTTCCGTGGGCTTCCAGGTCGTTGATCTCCTTGGCTATCTCTTTTAAATGCCGCCTTCGATATTTAAGAATAGCGTCTCCGACCTGAGGTAAAAATCGTTTGTTAGTTCTGTAATTCTCCATCTGTTCTATGTGAGGCAGGGACCACGTATGATCAAATTTCTTAGCACTGTATTTGAGTAAATCATATGTGAAGGCTTTGTACCGAAAATAATCACGCTCATGAACTGTTGAATCCATTGCTGAATATAATTTTTTTAAATCTTTCGTCAAATTTTGTCACGTTTCGGATGATACGTTAGTTATTTTCACAGAAGTGGTACTGTTGGATTGTACAAAATCGTTTTTCTCCACTTCAATCCTACATATGTTTTAAACACTTTATGAACGGTAAAGAGCTTAGACTATTTAGTATATAGCTGTTGTACTTTTTTAATAAAAATAACCAAAACCATTGGGCTTTGAATCTGAAAATGGGACGTCGTATTAGCTTTATTTTTGGTCTAACATTGGTATAAATTTTTTATCGTCTGTTTTTTCTAAAACTAACACCTTACTAGCCCTGCCGTCTGGTGGTCCCGCCGGAGTCCCGCGGAGAGGTAACGGGCTTGAATCCCACTGAAACCTCGCATGCATTTTTTTGATTCCTTCTCTAATTTATTCTCCCTCTGTACGTCAAATTGTGACCTACTTGAGTAGGGTTATTTTGATATCATTAACCAAGCTTGCAAACAACCAAATAAAAGCTGAATTTTTGAATTTTAGAGTCACCGAGAAGCTTCGGCACTTGTACGCAAGAAGCATACGTGCTATTTAAGGTCCTCCGTGGCTAAGGGGTATTGGCCTACCACCAAACGCTCTGAATTGTGATAGCAACGGGTTTGAATCCCGCCACAACCCAGTTGTACTATCTAAGTGATGTATTTCCTCAATTTAGGACATCAGTTCTCCAACTTGACGAGGTTTTATAAGCTTTTCTTTGAATTAAGCAAAAGTCCGAGATAGGTTGGTAGGTAGATCTGCACAATGGGCTATTGGCGACGGTCCGGAAAACATCCCTCAGGATGATCCGGAGACATGCTGCCACTATTTATGAGACCATTTCCTCAATTTAGACATAGATCTGAAGGGGAAGGAATTTTTCTCCAGATCCATGCACCCATGGTACTGTTCAGCGACCGACAACAGGACTTCGACTATACAGATTTTACGAGCACATGTATCGCATGTACTCGGTGGATCTTCGTGGAGTCGAGGTTTGTACCCAGGACCCTCCGAACCGAAGTCTGATTTTCCCTGGGCTACCACGGCCCTCAAAAGTCTAAATATATGTGTGTAAAATAAGGAAATATATGTGCTTAAGGTTTATTGGAATTACATGGAGATCAAGCTTGTGGAATCAATTTAGGCTTTTAAAGCTTGGTTAAATAGAAGGACAAATAGCACATTACAGAAGAACAGAACGAAGGACATCCATCCAGGATAACAGTGGGATTCGAACCCGCTACCTCCACGCTTTGCACAGCGTTGGGCGGGTGATATCGGTCCGCCAGGGTGGCCCATATGTGCTTGAGTAACGTAGAACAACTTTGTCAAAGAATCAAACAACCTGCTGTATGCATATTTTATTTTCTTCTCTGACGTTCTTCTAAAATGTGAGCGTTTACCAATTTAATAAAAGAGCATAGGAAGTTCTTTGATCTGTATTTTGTGTACAAAATGAAATAGATTTCACAGGTTTGTGAATCAAAGTCATTGAAAATCTTTACAGCTCACTTGAAGACATTAATCGTAATTGTTTCATTTTAGTATATTTTTTTTTCCAATTATGCACAGATATGCTACTTAGAATGGCTAAGAACCTTCAGTCAATTACAAGTATAAACCCGCGATCTTAGTATCGTAGACCACGATCCTACTTTCAAGGCCATCTTGGCTCAGTGCTTTAAAGTATTTATTTTTTAAAATATTTATTGGTACACATACATGCAGGCTTATGTACTCAATTATATAAGTATGGCTAATAAGCCTCTGTCAAGTAATTACATTACATAAATTTTCAGGCTTGTGTGCTCAATTAAGGCTTATAAAACTTTGTCAAATAGAAGGACAGATAGCACAACACAGAGAAGGACAGCACAAAGATACATCCAGGGTAACAGCGAGATTCGAACCAGCTACCTCCACGCTTTGCATAGCGTTCGGTGATCGGTACCGTTCGGCGTGGGAGACCCCTACTGAAAGTAACATAGATAGAAAAAACGATGAGTGGAATAAAAAAGAATGATGCTTGTTGTTGTTCCTAATTTCACTTGCCAATACCAGCAAGCCTGTTGGATGAAATCAAGCGAATTAAAGGCAAAGGGTGCGTTTCTGAATAATGCTTTCTGAATATCTATATTTTTTATTATTTTGCAAAAGAATAAAAAATACCGCACACCTTCGGTTCCTACGCAG